GAATCCGTGGCCCCCGACAAGTTGGAGGGCTCGTGTTGCAACCAAGCCGTTGTTTCCATCAAGACGCGGCTATGGAAATTGCAGGGTCGCCCTGGTCGAAGTTGCAGCTGACATGGGCGAGCTGGGAAAAAGTTTTGGCCTCCCCGATTACAGAAGCAATTATGGGTGCATTGCCTGTTTCCAACGCAATAATCTTTTTAGTGATTTGAATGCGCCACTGCGCAAGAGGAAACACCAGTGGCTGATTGACACAGCCGAATCTTCTTTTTCGTTTCACAGCGTTACACACGACACAGTCCAGGTCTTGAGAGACAACTGCAAGGCGCGAAAAAAGAAAGGAGGCACCATTGTGCAACGTCAGATGCGAGCTGCTTTCCCGTCGTTGCGACGTGGCGACCGCATCGAGCCTTCGCTGCCAAAGTACCCCGACGTGTGGCACCTGGAATCCGTCGATACGTACCCTGTCGAGCGTCGGAAATTCCTAGTGTTCAGACGACCCAAAAACAGCATCCTGTTTGTGAGCAGGTTGTTCTGCGTCAGTGGCATCCAAGAGGGGGTTCCAGGACTTCGGCTGGAGCATTTCCTATTGGATACTATGCACGTCTGCGAGCTCGGAATGTTGCATTATTACCACGGTGCTACAATCTGGGCTCTGACAGGCGCTGGGTTTTTTGGTGATTTCACGGAGGACGATTTTTCACATGTAGACGCTGCCTTGCACGACATGTACATGCATTGGTGGAAGCAGCAGGGTCGCATTCAAAACGACAAGGTCCTTGGTTTGTGCACGAAGGCGTGCGGCGGCAGGGAACACCCATTTCTGAAACCCAAGGCTGGCAAGACACGCTCACTCCTCGGCTTCGTCGTGCATCTCCTGAAGAATGCTGGAGGGCGGGCCCTGTTGGATGGCGCTGCAGATGGCGCAGATGGAACTAAACGTCAAACCTTCGGCGAAGGCATGCTTGAGTTTTATGGTATATGTAAAAGCCAGCCTCGTCGGATGGACGAACCCGCGCTGGCACGCATGGACGCCGTCGTCAAACGTACGATGGCCGCCTGGGCCGACAGCGGTCGCACCGTCACCATAAAATTTCACGCCTTCGCCAGACATATCGTGGACCAAGCCCGTTTCGCGGGCAACCCAGGTTGGACGCACAACTACGCAGATGAATCTGAACATTTTCATGCCAGGAAAATGTCAGTGACTGTGAACAGGACCAAGTATACAGAGAACGCCGCCGTCAAATGGTACATGAAGCATTTGCAAAAGTGCCATGCCTGAAAATGCAACAATCGTCATCATCACCACCACCACCGTCAAACTCACCGTCACCAACATCACCCTTGCGGTGTCGTGTCGTGCATCGGATTGCGGTGCCGTGTGCGAATGCCGTGCATCGAATTCCGCTCTGTTTGGGGTCGAAGCGCTGTTTGGGGTCCACGCCCAGTGTGTTTGGGGTTGGAGCACTGTTTGGGTGCCGCACCCGACCAGGGCTAAAACAACACGCTCAACAGCACAACACCCGTGAATAAAACATTGTGGCTCAAGCTCGTGCACGTTCGACGCCGCACCCGCCGCCCTACCCAACGCTTTCGCCCAAGGCGTTCGCCCGAGGCAGGTGCGATGGTTGCGACTGAATACATTGCGGTGTCGGGTGCGACTACGGGCATGCTGAAGCCCAGCATCTACTTCGAGGAGCTGGCGTGTTTCGGGCCAGTGATTGCGGAGGTCGGTACCAACCTGTCGTGGTCCAGCGGCGTCGAGGTGAAGATGATCAAGGAGAGCATCAAAAAAGACTACTCGGTGTACGCTGACTGGCATGCGGACATCTACATCTACGAGGCTTCTCAAACCCACCCGACCGTGGCGAAGCACCCGCTGTGGGGCGAGTGCGTTGTCAACCCGTCCACGTATCGCACGATCAATCTCATCGCATCGAAGAGTTCATTGCTGGACCCTCAGGCTGAGGTCATCGTTTCTGGCGTGAGCTGCGAGCCCATCTGGACGTTCACGGTGAAGATTCAGGAGACGGGCACGTGGGGGTTCATCAAGGTTCCTAACCCTGTGCTGGCTGGTCGCGGCGACTGTGTGTCGTGTGCCGTCCTGAAGACGTGGCTCGTGACCCAGCTGGCACTGCCGAACGGTTTCCAACTAATCAATGACGTGCGCATCTTCCGCAACGACAGCGGGTTGGCCAAGGGCGACCCCCTGGCGGACGATGATGACGTGTGGAAGAATCTCTGGTACTTCGCCATCGTCGACCCGAAGCTCGAGCCCCTCTGGGAGTACCCCGACCACAGCTCGCCCGACTCTCTGGCCAGGGGCTGGAACGACGTGCAGCCGACCACGGAGGCGACGACGCTCGATGACGACGACCTAGACGGGCCGCAGTGAGTGTGGTGAGTGTTTCCCCAATGGCGTGTTTGCGCCTTTGCGCCACGGCTGATCACAGCTGCCGCGCGCGCCCCTGCCCAATGGGGGGGGGGGGGTCATATTTTGCAGCACAACAGGTCGGAGGCGGAGGTGAATACCAATAAAGTAGAAAGGGGATGAGGGATGAGGAGACGAGGAGGGAGAGGAAGAGGAACCATGATGAGGAAGGAGCCAGCCTCACAGGTGCCGACGGGCCAGTGCCACAGCTGAGGAGCGTGAATCCTGTGTATAGCTGTTTCATCGTTCAGACAGTTGTGGATTCCATGGCTCTTCTCGTCGTCTCATCTCCTCCTCCTCCTCCTCCTCCTCCTCCTCTTGCCCATCCCCACCCTCTCAATGCTACCCCATGGCGCCCAATATCTGAGGCGCCATCGCACCCGTCATCTGCGATGGCGTGAGCGATGACGGGTGACCCCGCCCAACTGTCATCCACCCGCGCCCGCGTGATGCGCGGGCTGGCGCGCGTCGGCGCGGGGTCGCCCGTCGTCGCCCACGTCGGTTCGCACATTGCGGGTGCGACGGCGTCAAGTGTAGCGTGTGTCTCACGTGCGCGATCTCACCACATAGATTGCACCACATAGATTGCACCACCGAGTACATAACAATATATCCAGATGACGCCGTGTGGGGTCCAGACTGGCTGCAACACAATACGCTCAAGTCTTGGTTGATCTACACGACGCCCTACGTCGACACCCTACCCGACGCCATACGTCGACGCATGTAGCGCATTCAAACCCTGAACCCTAAACCCTGAACCCTAAGACCCTGGATAAGAACATGCGACTGGCAACTGATGATGATGATGTTAATGCTGATGATGTTGCTGATGCTGTTGCTGATGATGCTGATGATGATGATGACCTTCCAACCTCCTGCGCTACCTTCAAGTGCTTGTATCAGGTTAAAGCGAGTGCCAGAAGAACGCAAAGACATTCTGAGACATCGATCCTTCTCTCCTGTTCCCGCCGCCATCACAGCCTTCACCCTCATCACCATCAGCATCATCATCCTCATCATCAGCATCAGCATCATCATCAGCATCATCATCAACATCATCATCACCATTATCACCATTACCACCACCACCACCATCACCATCACGTCACGATCATCGCCAGTATTGCACCAGGGTGCTTTACTGCTACTGCATCTCTAGGACGCATCTTCTTACTTAGCCGGTCGTTGAGGACCTGTCTGGGGGATGCGGGGAGGAGCGAGGGGTTGAGGAGGTCGCTAGCTCCGCCCCGCATCCCCCAGACAGGTCCTCAACGACCAGCTAATTAAGAAAATGCGTCCTAGAGATGCAGTGCGCAGTAAAGCACTCGAATGCAATACTGGCGATGATCGTGACGTGATGGTGATGGTGATGGTGATGGTGATGGTGCTGCTGATGCTGATGCTGATGCTGATGCTGATGATGATGATGAGGATGATGATGATGGTGATGATGATGATGATGATGCTGATGATGCTGATGATGAGGATGATGATGAGGGTGAAGGCTGTGATGGCGGCGGCAACAAGAGAGAAGGCGCGGTGTCTCAGAATGTCTTTGCGTTTTTCGGGAACTCGCTGGAACCTCGAACAATTCGTTATAACCATTGTAAACATTACGCAATTCAAGATAACTCAGCGTTTGAGGTAGCGCAAGAGGGTGGAAGGTCAGCACGGAAGGTCTGGAATAATGAGAGGGAGGGTCCGCAGAAACTGCTGATTTGCACCTGGGAGCGATGCCCCCCACCACGGTGTCGGCGGCGGGCAGGGCCGGCCAGGCCCTGGCCAGGGCGCGCCCGGACTCAGCCGGGGCACGCCCCGGCCCGGGCCTGCGGGAGGGCCCGGCGAGGGGGCAGCGCGGGCCGCTTCGGGGGCCCCCGAAAACGGGGCGGTGACCACAGCGTGCGGTGAGTCGGTGGGGATTCGGCCCTGCCTTGGCGCACAGCACACCACACCGTGCGGTGGCCACACCGTGCGGTAGGGATGCGGGGTCACCGCACGGTGTTGGGACTCGGGCCATCCTCCGGAGATGTCTCGGGCGACCGGGGCCTCCTGGGTCCCAGAGCCGTGGGGCGACGGGCCGTGCGGTGAGGTCTGGGGGTGGTTCCAGGTCACCGCACGGTCCGTCATCGCAGCGTTTCGGGGCTCCAGAGACAGGCTCCCCTTGCGCCTCCTGTGGACCTCGTAGGGTCAGGTCGGGCCTGTCCCTCTGCATGAGGAGCATTCCAAAAAAGGTCAAACAATAGTCAGGCACGACTGTTTGATTTTTGTTGCTGCATGTTTGATTTCTATCATGTGATAAAATGAAAGGAGGAATGCACTTGTCGTCTAAAATCCGCCTGTAGGCGGACACGCCCGACCTACTCGTAGGGATGACTTCCCCCACTTTTCTCTCGGGGTGCTGTAACTAACCTGGTCTCGCTTTGGTTTGGCTCTCACCATCCACGTCACAGAAGGGGCACAGCTCGGGGGGGAGCTTTCCGTCTTGCTGCAATTCCTCATGCTTCTGCTCCTTCTTTTCCCCCTACAGGGAGAGATGATTGCCAGAGCCATTGGCTCAAGTTTGCGACTCATCCCCAGGCATGGCGTTCATTTGACCAACCGCGTCCATCCGATCTGGTAGTATGAAAGCCCGTGGAGTGGGAAGGCCGGGAAAAGCTGCAGGCAATCCAGCCGCCGCCCATGCGAAGGCCAAGGCCCAGAGGAAGCAGCAGATTCAAGAGTGGAAGTACACATCGGTCATTTGGGGATTTTTACCTAACAGCTTTTGCTGATAGGTTTCTAGTGGTCTCAAAAGAGAGCAGCAGATGACTCCACAGGGGGGTCGGGGCGGGACCCGGGGGCTGCCGCCGAAGCCGAAATCGCTTGGGACATCCTCGCAAAATCGCTCTTGGCGCTGCTAGAACTCCGTCCCCGGCGTACATTTTGGATGCCCGGAGCCAACTGTAAGCCACTTCGTGGTCTTCGAGTTCCCAGAACTCCATTCCCGGCGTACATTTTGGATGCCCGGAGCCAACTGTAGGCCACTTCGTGGTCTTCGAGTTCCCAGAACTCCATTCCCGGGCCACATTTTGGATGCCCGGAGCCAACTGTAGGCCACTTCGTGGTCTTCTAGTTTCCCAGAACTCCATTCCCGGGCCACATTTTGAATGCTGAGGCAGGCTGATGCTGCGGCCTGAGGCAGGCTGAGGCTGAGGCAGGCTGAGGCTGAGGCCGAGGCTGAAGGCAGACTGAGGCTGAGGCTGAGCAGCTGAGGCTGAGGCAGGCTGAGGCTGAGGCTGCAGGCTGATGCTGAGGCAGGCTGAGGCTGAGGCTGAGGCTGATGCAGGCTGAGGCTGAGGCAGGCTGAGGCTGAGGGAGGCTGAAGGCAGACTGAGGCTGAGGCTGAAGCAGGCTGAGGCGAGGCTGAGGCAGGCTGAGGCTGAGGCAGGCTGAGGCTGAGGCTGAGGCAGGCTGAGGCTGTGACTGCGACTGCCGTTGCCGCTGCGACTGTCATCGCGAATGCGACTACGACTGCGAGAACAGCAGAATTCTACAACTGGATTTTCATCTGAGTCTGAAGGGGAATGCTTTCAGATATGCTTCTACACATCGCTGTTAGGTTGCTTTGCCGGGATAACTCTTCGTCTTCGCGCTGGTGATCTATTTTATTTTCGTCAACACCGAAAAGGTGCCCGCTGTTGACTTTGACTGAGGTTTCAGTCTAGTTCTCGAGCTCGGTGGAGGAGCAGGGTCACGGTCCTCCAGCAGTCCACATTCTATTAATTTTTCTTGGTTCGATGGGAGTGGGACGCGTCTACTTTCACTGGCTGGCAGGCGGGTTCGGAGGCAGCGAGTTCTGCCAGGTCGAACAGGCGTGAGCCGCATCCTGCTGTGGCCAGGATCTGCCGCCCCGTGTGTGGGGGAGCCCGCAGCATTGGCGCCCCTCCTTCAGGAGCAACGCGCGCGTCGGAGCTGGAGCTTTGTCTAGTCTGGGTGCGTGCCCTCTGCCAGATGAGAACGACCATGTGCGAACCCAGGGGGGGAGGGGCTCAGCGGATCGGTGGCTGCCAGGCCGTGACAGTGAACACGCCCACTGGCCTGCTACAGCATGGTGTTAATCGGTGCTGCGGATCGGCGCGCGGCCCCGTTCCCCCCCGGCATGTTGCACCGCTTGCCGCCCTCACGGCTCCAGCTTCGGTGCTTTGCCGGCAGGTGCGAGCCTCGATTTGTGCCACGTGCGGCGGGCATCTCAAACGGTGCATGCTTTGGACAACTTGGGCTTGGAGGAGAGGAGGAGGAGATGAGGAGGAGAGGAGAGGCGAGGAGCGAAGAGGAAAGGAGGAGGAGGAGGAGGAGCAGGAGGAGGAGAAGGAGGAGAAGAGGAGAGGAGAGGAGAGTAGAGACGAGGAGCGGAGGGTCTTGGTGCCCGTCCTGTCGCCGCCGTCGCCGCGGTCGTCATGTCATCTGTGTGGTCTCGTAGCTGTAGGGGACCCTCGGACGCAGCTTTGTAGCCGGAACCCGTGAGGCAATGGCCGCCAGTAGCGACAGGATTGGGCGACGCGGCATTTGCACCCCGTCGTGATAATAGTTGTAGCAGGTCGCTTTGGGTGTACCTGCACATCCGCGTTTGTAATCCAGTCCTCCGTGGTGGTCGCTCCTCTCCTTCCTCGTCCTCTTTGCACTGGATTGTCGTCTCCTTTCACGCGCCCGCCCGCGAAGGCGGCCCGGAGCAGCCATCAGAGGCTTGGTCTCCCTTCGGCTTCGGTCAGGGGCTACGGGGCATCAGAGTTAGGGCGTCATTGCCACGTAGCCACGGCCAGGAGCAGAGCATGCGCAACTTCTGCAGGGAGCGCGCTAGCAACCGCCAGAAGGCATGAGGGCGGCTTCGGGCCATCACGGGCCTTCTGGGGTTCAGGGGGCCCTGCGGCTGTCTTCGGGGCTCCTCCTCAACCCTTCCTCCTCCTCCTCCTCCTCCTCCTCCTCCTCGCCCTCCCCCTCCCCCTCCCCCTCCCCCTCCTCCCCCTCTCGGAGCAGGCCTCCAAGCCCTTCCCCCCCCCCCTGGCGAGTGCGACACGGGGCCGCTGCTG